GTAACTAGAGGGGGAAAAAAAAGAATCTGTTGTTCTCTTCTGTCCCCAGCTGGTACCAGGCATGCATGTGACACACAAACATACATGCGGGCAAAACACACACACACACACACACACACACACACACACACACACACATAAAAATAGATAATTTGTTTAAAGATTCTAAAAATAACATGTACATGGAGATAATCCATTTTATAATATGGGATTAAAATATGTCTTTATTTTTTAAAATAAAGTATTAGTGTTTCATCTGCATATGTATCTGTTTCCACCATACCATACGTACACTTGGTCTCTTAGAAGGGCAAAAACTGAGTCAGTTCCCAGAATTGGAATTACAGGCAATTACAAGCCATCTGGCCTGGGTGCTGTGAACCAAGCTTGGATCCTCAGCTCTTAAGTACTCAATTAACTTTCCAGTGCTTAAGTACAATATATGTTCATGGAGCATGGTCTGTGGTGGGCTGACATCTGTAATGCTAGTACTCTTGATGCATGTAACTGAGAATCTCATTTCTATAACCCAGCACCCATGTACATTTTACTCTTGGATACTCCTTGTTATAACAAAGCACTCATCAATCATTTACTGACTGGGGCTCATGCCTATAAATGCAGATTCATAGTGCATGAACTCAGGAAGGCTCAATCCAGTAACCAAGACTGCTCGGTGCACACCAGTGGAAGCTGTATCTGACTGTTAATGTACATGTATAAGGGGAAGCCCATGCCTGTGACCCACCACTCATAGCACGTGTACTCTGATGATGCATATCTGTAACCCAGGACTCATTGTGCATGTACCGAAGATGACTCATACCTGTATTCCAGCACTCATGGTTTACATATTGTGAGAGAATCACCCCAACAGCCTAGCACTTATGGAGCATATACGGTTGGAGGTTCATGCTTATAATCCAGAACTCATTCTGAATGTACAGTGTGAGAATCAAACTGTAAGCCACCAATTATGGTGCATTCATGTACTGTGGGAGATTGGTGCCTACAATCAAGCATTCACGGTACTTCTACAATGGTGGGCTGTTGCCTGTATGCCAACATTCATGGTGCATATACTGTGGCAGTCTCACACCTGCCCCAGTCCTGCGGGGCATTGAACCAGGATCAGAGGATCTGGAAGAGAGAACTGGGGGAACAAGGGTGCACAAAGAATGGACAGCAAGTCAAGGAATCTGATCAAGCTGTCAAATTTTAATTGTTCCCACATGGGTTATATACACATAAAAGCAGGATATGGGGAAGGGGATGACGTAGGGTCTTCTTTGTTTCTGGGGAGTACAGGTGTTCTCAGGGGGAGTACATACATTCTCAAGAACAGGATATTGGCTGGGTGAAAAGTTCACAGGAGAAGCAGGGCAGAACAGGTCGCTATGTACATACCTGTACATAAGATCAATGGTCATTTGTTCTGATCTAAGCTAGTACTTTCCCACCAAAGGCTACCTGTCCATAAGATCTATTGGTCATTTGTTCTTATCTAGGCTAGTACTTTCCCACGAAGGCTACTTGTCCACAAGATCTATGATTATTTGTCCTTAACTGAATTAGTGCTTTCCCACAGAGCCCAAGACTTTGTGTCAGTAGGGACCTATGTCTGACTAGGCCGTTAATATTTAAGCAGGGTCAATCCTTGCACTCATAGTGCATGAGCTGTGGAAAGCTCACAAATATAACAGCAATCAGGGTTCTAGGGAGTTTATGTCTATAAAGAAGCATTGGTGTTGTGTATACTATGGTGAGTTCATGTATGTCACCCAGTGTTCTCTGCATGTATTCTAGGAGGCCTGGGCCTATAGTAAAGCACTCATTATGCATGTACTGGGAGAGGCTCTTTAGGTAACACAACAGTCATAGTGCATGTACATGGGAATGCACAGCTTTAACACAACATTCATGGTACATAAACTGTAGAAGATTCACACTTGAAACCCAGACCTCATGGTGCATATATGCCGGAAGGCTCCAGCCTATAACCTATTTCTCATAATGCATGGACTGTGGGAAGCCAAAATGTGAAATTCTAACATTCATGTTACATACTGTGGCAAGCTCATGCCTATAGCTCATCACTTGTGGTGTGGTTACTGTGGAAGGATCATACCTAATAAAGAAGCAGTCATGGTGCGTGTACTGTGGGACCTCATCCTTTGAAGGGTGCATTTGTGATACATTTACTATGGCGGGATAAGTCCTGTAACCAAGCCCTCATAATGCATGGACTGTGGGTAGCTGACATCTGTATATCAGTACTCATGATGTACATACTCCTAGAGTTAGGAGGCTCAGGCCTGTAAACCTGCACTCATGGTACATGTATTGTGAAACACTCATCCCTGTAGTCTGAAACTCATGGCACAGGTATGGCAAGAAGCAGAAGCCTGAACACAATACCATTTACAATACCGTCAAAGAAAATTAAATACTTAAACCTAAACAAGGAAGTGAAAGACATCTACAATGATAGAGCATAGGATGCCACAAATTGGTGCATTTAAGAATTTGAAAAAGATCATCTTACATAAAGATATTTAGTGTAGGGCTGGAGAGATGGCTCAGCGGTTAAGAGCACTGACTGCTCTTCCAAAGGTCATGAGTTCAATTCCCAGCAATCACATGATGGCTCACAACCATCTATAATTGGATCTGATGCCCTCTTCTGGTGTGCCAAGGACAGTGTGGTCACATACATAAAATAAATAAATCTTTAAAAAAAAAGATATTTAGTGTAACCCTAACTAATATCCCACATCATTCAGAAATAAAAAATTCTATCCTAAAACTTATATGGAACCAAAAGAGACCCCAGAGAGGCAAGCAATCCTGAAACAAATGAATAGTTCTGGTGAGATTAACGTTCTATATTTCAACATATATTACAGACCAATAGTGAGAAAAAACAAAATTGTACTGGCACAAAAACAGACATGAAAACCAGTGGAAGTAAGTGGGACACACGAATGTGAGTACATGTAACCTTAGCTATTTAATACCTGATAAAGGTGCCAAAAATATAAACTGGAAAAGGAAAATGTCTTTAACAAATGGTTCTGGGAAAACTGGATGGCCACATGCAAGAGACCAACCATATTTTAAAAATGTTAATGTTAAAATGCTTCATAGATGATGATATCACATATATTAAATACCTTGTGTGTGTATAGAAAATACCACTTTCATTTATCTAGTAGATAGATATAAAGTAGGATATTCAGCAATCTACTGTATTTCTCAGCACAGCTCGATGTGCTATGGGTATGTACATATCATTTGATACTGCTTCTTCATGTTGCAATTACATATCCACTTAGCACTCCATCCTGAAGAATCGCATCCTAAGGGAATGACATAGACATGCCAGATAACGTAAGTGCAAAGTGAGTTATTTTAAAAAGCCATAATGGTGTGTGTGTCTAATGTGATTTGGGTTTGTATTCCATGACAGATATGTGTGAAGCAGAAGAAAACTCTGTGTAGATTCTTCTGGCCCTCATCATATGTTTGTCAAGGTCAGGTTTCCAGCACTGCACATCAGTCATTTATTTTCCCAATGAGGCATCTCATATGCAACTGCATAAGATTAGTAAGAACATTAATTCTGTATAATATTATTTCCTACTCAAATGGTCATGGGCTTTGCTGCTAGCATCCCTGCAGATCCCATACATGACCTCAGTTCAGATTTTCAAAAATGAGAGGATGGTATTTCTGCTTTGCTTCAAGTATATGTTGCATTTATTTCAGTATGTAGTTATTTACATAATTAGTTTGGAGAAAATATGTATTATGGCAGCCCATTATTCTATACATAGCAATCTTGCATGCATAGATGCTACTTTTGGATGCTACTACAGGTAATTACTGTATCTCCAGTAAGTTTATCTGTAGAAAAGAGACTTATTCCAAATATTTTCGACAATCATAGAATTTTATCTGCAAATATGATGCACTCTTGGAGGAATAAATCTTGACTTTGCCTTTTTAAACTCAAACACTTAAAAGAAATCATTCATTTCCAATGCAAGGATTAGAATAAATGTTATCATGCGTTTACTGGTATTTGATCAGCATAAAACATTAGAATGCCAGTTAACATAACCTTACTTATTCATATGTGTATGATATGTATGTTGTGGATCATGATAAATAATTTTTTCCACTTGATCTGAGCTAGAGGCTAGTGTAAAAAGAAAACCTCAATTGAGAATATGTATCCATAAGATTGGTCTTTAGATTAACCCATGTGGGATTTTCTTGACTGATGATTGATGTGAGAGGACTCAGCTCACCTTGTAGATAGCAACACCTTGGGCAGGTAGTTTGGGGAGACAAAAGTAATGAGCTGATGGGGCCGGATACGTCGCTCATTGAGTAAATGGAAACATTGCCCTTTCAGAGGACCAGAATTCAGTTCTCAACACTTACTAGAGGCAACTTAAACCCGCATGTCACAGCAGCTCCAGGGTAGAGACTTCCCATTAGTTTTTGTCCTTCATGGACACTTTCATTCATGTGCATGTGTATACTCCACAGACACAGTGATTCTAGCACCACGCTTTCAGTTTTCAACCAGAACAGCCTTTTAATCTTTCAGCATTCAATGTCATTTACAACTCAGTTTTCCACCTTCTTCTTCTCCTAAAGACATCGTTCAAAGGCACAAACAGCCACAAATTCACACTATCTTTCCTGACATCAGCCCTACTCCTCTGACACCAACCCCATTTCACTTATTTATTTATTTGGTTGGTTGTTTAAAAATAAATAAATAAATAAATAAATAAATAAATAAATAATAGTCTGACCAATTCAACTTTTGAGAGAAAGGATTTGTTTGTTTTAATATTTTATGTGGAATTGTGTTCTCAGCCTTCGCCGCAATGCTGCTGCTCTCTAAAGCCAGCGTCGCCTCGCACTTGCGGAGCTCCGAGCTCCAGCTAAAGGAGAAGCCGAGTAAGTATGGAGGTCCCCATACCATGGGCCCTACAAAGCAGACTGGCCACAAATCCATCAGGGGTAAAGTGCCCAGGCTACAACTGGCTACAAAAGTCGCTCTCAAGAGTGCGCCCTCTACTGGAGAGGTAGAGAATCCTCATCGTTACAGGCCCATGGCACTCCGTGAAATCAAGCCCTATCAGAAGCCCACTGAACTTCTGATTCGCAAGCTCCCCTTTCAGCGTCTGGTGCGAGAAATTGCTCAGAACTTCAAAACAGATCTGCGCTTCTAGAGTGCAGCTATTGGTGCTTTGCAGGAGGCAAGTGAGGCCTGTCTGGTTGGCCTTTTAGAAGATACCAACCTGTGTGCTATCCATGCAAAATGTGTAACAACTATGCCAAAAGATATCCAGCTAGCTTGCCACATATACAGAGAGGGTGCTTAAAAGTCCACTATGAGGGGAAACATTTCATTCTCAAGAAAAATTTTTTTCCTCTTTTTCCTGTTATCAGTAGTTCTGAATGTTAGATATGTTTTCCATGAGGTCAAAGATACCTAAGTATATGATTGCGAGTGGAAACATAGGGGGCAGAATCAGGTACTGGCAGTTTCTCCACGTTCATTTGTGTGTGGATTTTTAATATAAATGCAAGATGTAAAGCATTAATGCAAGCAAAATGTTTCAGTGAACGCAAGTTTAATTTTATAACAGTTATAAGTAAACCTGTTAAAATTTTCTGGACAATGCCACCATTTGGATTTAAAAAAAAATAAGTAAATTTCTTATTGATGATAACTAAATGGTATTTGTGGCATTTTTTATCACACAGTGCTTTCTATCCATTCACTATACTTTTCTAACCAAGTTGTCCTACATGCAAGTACATGTTTTTAATGTTGTCTGTCTTCTGTGCTGTTCCTGTAAGTTTGCTATTAAAATACATTAAACTGTAAAAAATATTTATGTGTTTGGCAGTTTTGACTGCAGGTACACCCAGGTATTCCATGCATGCCTGATGCTTGTAGAGGCCCAAAAAGTGGAATAGATCCCCGTGGAGCTGGAGTTAACTATGGATGTGTGTCCTGTGGATACTGGGCATCAAAGCTGGACCCTCTAAAAGAGTAGCCCGTGTTCTTAACCACTGAGACTCCTCTCCAGCCCCTTGACATGCTATTTCAATGCTGCTGCTAGCAATTAATTTTTAAAAATCTTGCTTGTTAGCCGGGCAGTGGTGGCGCACGTCTTTAATCCCAGCACTTGGGAAGCAGAGGCAAGCGGATTTCTGAGTTCCAGGCCAGCCTAGTCTACAGAATGAGTTCCAGGACAGCCAGGGCTACACAGAGAAACCCTGTCTCGAAAAACAAAACAAAAAACAAACACACAAACATAAAAGCAAAAATCTTGCTTGTTTCACTTAGAAAGAAAACTAATGACTTCAAATGCAAATTAACACACACATTCTAATAATGTTGGAAAATGAGAAATAAATGTGGTACCTCTTTTCTTGGCTGTAGCTCTTCCTAGCAAAGTATATGCTACCACTCAGAATTTCACATATGAATTCCAATACTCATCCTGGTTAAAATTTAATACATGCATGCGTGTGTGCATGCGCGCGCACACACATACACACATTAAAATGATGTCTTAGTCACTGTTCTATTGCTGTGAAGAGACACCATAATCAATGCAATTCTTATGAAAGAAATGATTTAACTGTGGATGCTAAAAAAACAAAACTAACATGAAGTCTGTTCAAAAGGCAGAGGAATCATGGTTAAAGACACAAGACCAAACCAACTTCATTACCCGAGGCCTAGAAGATAATACGTTTACCTCATGGGTTACCTCAATGAAGTCTCAGTCTGAAGAGAAGATTCAGAAAGGATAATGACTTAAAGAAGTGTGACAAACAGGGCAATAGAAATAAACTACCCTTAATGGAATCCTAAGCAGAAATAAGACTTTCCGGAGATCACTGATAAGAGACAATGTTAAATTTTCCAATTGGAGAAAGGGCCTTCAACTTGAATTATGGCTTTCTGTGAAAAATAATTCCTCCTAAGGTTGAATGATGGTATTCCAACTAGCTGCTGCAGTAACTCCATTCAGAATGTTTATTATGTTCATGGTTTTTTCTTTTTTTTTTTTCTTTTCTTCTTTCTTTTTCTTTTTTTCTTTTTTTGTAATTTCCTTTGATGGCAATGCCACAGACACATGTGTCTGTCCCACCATATTATACTATGGAAGTGATTGTGTAGAACAGTGTGGTCTCAAATTCATAGATATGAATTTGCCTCTGAAGTGCTGGGATTGAAAGCACATGCTATCATGCTTGGCAATATTAATTTTTGAAAATGATTGCATGGGCAGTGGTTCCAAGTAACTGACAGGTGTTCAGAGTAATTGTATTCTCCCAGTTCTCCAGTGCTTCTTTTATCTATGTCATTAATTTTGTTCTTTTTCAGTGTGTGTGCGTGTGTGTGTGTTTGTGACTATATAGCATAGGGTTTCCTAAAACGCAAAGTGATCTTCCTGCCTGTGTGTTCTGAGTGCTGGGATTGAAGAAATGTACTACTATGCCCAACTTGGACCATAAGTTTTATTCTCTCCCTCTCTTTCTTCCTCTCCCTCCCCATTCTCTCTCTTACACACTCAAGCGCGCACGTGTGCGTGCATGTGCACACACACACACACACACACACACTCACAAATATTTTAGACACTATTTATATGAGTATTTTGCCTGTGTCTTAGGGCTTTACTGTGAGCAGACACCATGACCAAGGAAACTCTTATAAGGACAATATTTATTTGGGGCTGGCTTACAGGTACAGGAGTTTAGTCCATTATCATCAAGGCTGGAGCATGCAGCATCCAGGCAGGCATCATGCAGGAAGAGCTGAGAGTTCTACATCTTTATCAGAAGTCTGCTAGGCTCCCACATGGTTAGGAGGAGGGTCCCAGAGCCCACCCCCACAGTGACAGACTTCCTCCCACCAGGCCATACCTACTCCAACAAGGCCACACCTCCTAATAGTGCCACTTCCTGGGCCAAGCATATTCAAACTACCACATTCTAGTAACTGGTCCCCATAGGTTTATTCAAACGCATGGGTCTATGGGGGCCATACCTAGCCATAGTATAATTTTAAAAAACACATTCCATACTCCCAATAGTCTATAGGAGTCTCAAAAATGTTAAGATTCTAAAGTTCAAAGTTTTTTCTGAGATTCATCCAATCACTTAATTGTAATCCCCAAAGCACCACAAGAAACCAGCTGGGCAAACTCTAAACTCTGCATCTCCATGGCTGATGTCAAAGCTGTCTTCAGTCTTCAGATCTCCAAGTCCTTTTTATCTTTGTTGACTGGAACAAACATTTCTCCTTGGCTGTTTCTACTCCTGTTAGTGGCTTTCCTCAGCAGATGTTCCATGGGTCTGGCAACACTAACATCTTTGGGTCTCCAAGGCAACTTTAAGGTTGCAGCTTCTTCTTAAAATGTCTGAGATCCACACATGTTCTTCCCTGCTCATCACTTGGGTCACTTCTCCAGCACTGCCCTCTGTAGCACTCTAGGCTTTGGTTGACTGCACTTCACTGTTGCTGCTGTTCGTGGTGACCATCCTATGGTACCGGCATTTCCAACACACTGTGGTCTTCTGCTGCAACTAGGCTTCACCAGTAGCCTTTCATGGGCACTCTTCATGGTGTTGAGCCTTCACTTCTTCGCATGACCCTTCAGTCGAAGGCTGTCAACTGGACCCTCACCAGTAGCCTTCCCTGGTCTCTCACAGTCCCAAGTCTCAGCTGCTCTCCTCGACTTCTTCATACCATCAAAACCACACACACCTGGTGATTCTTAAACATTACTCAGTCCAACTGCAGCACAAGGTACAATATTGGCTATCTCTGGAACACATTTCACTGTGCTCTCAGAAAACACTTCTCAGATTTTACCTCAGTGATGCTAGGCTCTTCTTAATCACAGCTAATTTCTTAGCTCAGGTTAACCAGCATCAATTGTCCCAGTAGTCACTTCTATTCTTTTATTCTAAAGCCAGAGCCACATGGCCAAAGTTGCTTAGTTATACTGCTTGTTTGAGCTGGAACATGCCCTCTTTGTTCTATTACATTATCACCAGCTTTCTGTTTCCCAACTCCTTCACTGCCTAAGCTTGGCAGTCCTGGAACTTGCTCTGTAGATTGACATGGATAGAACTTAGTGATCTGCATGCCTCTGTGTTTTGAATTCTGGGATCAAAGGTGTGTGCCGCCACACCTGGACTTAAGCTTTTCTGTACTTGGAACTTGCTCTGCACAAGGCTGGCCTTGAACTGAAGAGATCTGATTGTTTCTGTCTCCGGAAATTAAAGGTGTATACCAACCATGCTTGGAGCTAAGCTTTGTTGGTTGAGATCTTGCCCCAAAGCTACCACTGCCTTATTCTGCTTATCTCCTTGATCATTTGATTGGTTAGATCACAGATAATGATTAGCAGGTAGCATTGGCTCCTGAGTGATCTACTTTTACAGCGTCATTTACTTGTTAGCTAAGATTTTGTAGTACAAGATGAACACTCCAGAGGCCTTTCGTTCCATCATTTTTATAATTTACATGTTTCTGCATGACTTTGAGCTAAGAATGCCCTTAAAAAATCTCTGCTTTTACCTTGTGACCAAGTTCAGAAGAGGATTTAACATAGCATGCATAGGGGTAGGCAAACCTATATGTGAACGTATCAATATTCCCTAAGAAAAGTGTCAATGCATCATTTTTCATTAGAAAATCATTGCTCTGGAAATGACTGCCATGCTCTCCTTCCTGCCACGGTGGGGGTGTGAGGGGGGCAGGGAATTCTTTCCCAGCTCTCCTGTCTAAACCGTTGTGCTGTCTATTCTTGGTAGTCAAATTGACTAGATCTGGAATTAAGTAAAACCCAAAAAGTTGTCTACTATGGGGAATATTTTTTTTTTTAAATTATAGCTTTTGAAGTAGGAAAACCTTTCTGTAATCTGGATCTTTTGAGTTGATAAGATCCACTTTTAACCTAGAATATAGCTTCTGGTGTCGGCCATATATACAGGCCACTGAAGGAGATAGATACCTCTTTTTCTTTGAATGCTTTCTCTATCTCTGGCTAGCAGTTTTATTTTTTATACTGGTATTAGAGCCTATTTCTTCAGAATTCTGATGTATACTGAAAACCAGCTGAGCCATGCAGCCACATGGACTGAACCACTACTTGATTCTTTAACCTTCCACAGGTAGGCAGGGACTGACTGTGTGGTCTGTTGAACCACGCAGTCCTTGAGCTCTTAAATAAATCCATTTTTTACATAATAGAGAGACTGATTCTATCAGTTCTGTTCATCTAGAGAACCTTTACTAATGCGGCTGTGGATTTTCTAGTTGTTTATTTGTTTGCTTTACCTACCTGTGAGGAAGACTTGCTGGTTAACAACGGTGCTCCACAGTGTTTGTCATGTGTTTCCTACTGTACTCTGCGGGTTGTCTCATAGCCATCAAGTGAAAAGTACTTGCAGTTTACCTGAACCCAGATTGAAGACACAAAACAAAAATCATGTCTCCTATACTTCCTCTTTAGTTGTTAATATTCTGGTCATACTTCCACTTGTGGGACAGGTTGATAACTTCACTGTAAGTTGTGAAATAGGCTATGCAAATTATGGACCTTGATTCCTAGAGGAAGAAGGGGACGTGCCTACAGAGTGTTGTGATTGGAACTCAGGCAAGCTCCAAATTTGCATGGCCCACAAAGGGGAGAAGCGGGTAATTGAGCAACAGCAAATTGGAGTTGTGGGTCCTCCCCTGACAAGGGTGGGGAAAACAGACCGGCAAGCAATTGGAGGACAGACACAAATGGTACTGAAATGCAAATTTCTACAGATCCGGAAAAGGACTGGCCTCGGGCTGGCAACCTGTGCCTGGATCTAGTCCGCTGTGTCCCTTCAGAACTCTCTAATCCTATGGGTGGTGCTTATGTCACTCAGGATTCACGAGCCAATCAGAACAGATAGATGGATCTGCCACTCAAAAGAGAAGGCGGGCTCTTCCGGGTGCGATCGTGCAAGTTCCTCTTTGAAGCTGACAGTCTTGAATGTTTCTGCTTGATGTGGTCCGTGTGCCGCTCCTGGGTGCGGAGAGCTCGGGCAAGCTCAGAAGTCCCGACATGGTAAGCGCAGGGCCATCTCCCACAAAGGGGAGGAGCAGGCGGCTGAGTAGAGGGAGCTGGTGTGCTGGGTCGTCCCTGGTGCTCCGTGGTAAGCAGCAGCCTGACAGAAGCTGTGACTTGTGTGGTTCCTTGGGGTCCTGTTTCTCTCTCCCTGGACCCGTTGGTGGGCTCGTAATAACTTCACTTGGTGGCTGCATCTGCATAGAGCACTTTGGGTAGGGGCTTCTGTGTAGAAACATCCTTGGCAGGATGCCAAACTCGGAGAGTCCTAGTTTTTCTAGTGTCTTCAGTAAGTTCTGGCCTTAGCATTTAGCCGTTTTACATGTAGGTATAAAATCCATTTAGAGTTTATTTTGTGGAGGCTGTAAAAGGCATCTCGTGTGTTGGGTAGCACTCCAATGTTAAGCTGTGGTGTAGAAGGGTAGAATTGATGGTGTAAAGGATTTAGTAAAGCATATAGTGACACCAAGTAGAATGTAGCTGAGGGAAGACTGCCTCTAAAACACCCCACAAATACATAGTATGCTATCTAGACCCGTTAGAGAATAGGATGCTAGTATACACGTGTTTCTTTACCAGGATTGTCCAGACATTTGTCTACAAACCGTAACAAAAGAGACAACTCTGGTTTACAGTCAGCCACTAGGCCCATCCTGATATCAAAGAACAGGCCTCTTAACAAGCTGCTAAAGGGGGCAATATAGGGTCACCACCAACATTAAGGCCTGGTGTGCAATAAAGGTCAGGTTTTCTTCTTGAGAAAAGCATAATTTTGCCACATGGGCAAGATTACACCTGGTGACAACTCTTTGAAAAGGAAGAACAGTGTTGTGTTGAGGACTGACCTGGTGAAGCAAGGCTGTCTCTGAGGCCTTAGGCTTTAGGAACTTTTCTCTAAGGCCCTGATGTACCGAGAATAAAATAGAGCTCCTTCTCTAAAGCAAGGAAGGTCTTGGGAGAGCTGGTAGTGGTCTGGGGTCAGGGGGCCGTTGGGGTTGGGGTGCTTCAGATCCTGAGATCCCAGCTCTTCTACCACATGAGGCTATGGTTATCAGTCCCAAGTCCAGTGTGGGCTTGATCAGTAATGTTTTTGAGATGTTCAGTGTTCCTCTTGTGTGGTCTTCTTTTATTAGATCCCTCAGGTGTTTTTCCTATTGTATGGTAGTTTGTGCTGACTTCACAGAAGTCTCCCATTTTATTCTGTTTTCCCCCTGCAAGACGTATACATAATGCTATTCTTCAGAAGCCTACTTGGTATAAGACAGAGCTTGTACAAGAACTTTTCCTATGTTCTATCTTCTGGCACCTCCAACTCAGGACCCCATCACCGAAGAGTGGCCTGCTGTTTCAGTGCACTGGTGTATTTAAGAAGTAATTCTGGTTATATCTTTTCTCCTATCTGTGGGACTTGCAGTTTACAGTTTATATTTAAATTGTTTAAAACATAACCAAGGGCCTGAACCTAAAAGAGACTTAAGGGTTGACAGCATATGTGGAATGTAAAATCTGTTCTTCGCTGTCTCTTCTCTGAGCATTAGACAGAGCTGAATGCATGCTGTCATTACAGAGATTTTTCTTAATTAATCTTGTAATCATTTGTGGAGTGATTCCTCTCTGGGGAAGATATATTCTAGGATAGTTGCATCTTCTTCCCTTTTATAGAATGTTTGTAAGACAAGCTATGTTGACTTAGGTACCTTTGATCCCAGTCTCATGCTGCCCAGGCAATGGTCTTGCTTTTACTGTTGATGAGAATTCCTAAATTCTTTTTTTTGGTTTTTTTTTTGTTTGTTTGTTTTTTGCTTTTTTGTTTTTCATGACAGAGTTTCTCTGTGTAAGCCTGGCTGTCCTGGAACTCACTCTGTAGACCAGGCTGGCCTCGAAATTAGAAATCCACCTGCCTCTGCCTCCCAAGTGTTGGATGGAATTAAAGATGTGTGCCACCACTGCACATCCATTTCAGTAACAGGTAAAGGGTTTTGCCAGTGGAGCATACCTTTTGCCTTCAGACCAGAACAGGAAGAACAGTTTACTGTGTATGCTGTCAGATGAAACAAGGAAGGCAATAGCTTGACCACAGACTAAAGTTCAAAGGAGTCAGCTGTGGGCATCACCATTATGAAGGAGGACCTAATTTAGACAGGGTGAATGACTTTGTAATTTTCCAGCATTTATTAATTTATGCATATTGTGATGGCTATTCCTGGTTTTCAGCTTGACTATATCTTCAACTACAATCCAGAAATTGAGGGCACACCTATTATCCAGATCTTGAGACTAGAAGACACAGGCTTCTGACTTGGATGTTGACATGGGATGGCACAAGCTTTTGATCCAGATCTTGAGGATTAGGGGCCATGCAAAGCTTAGATCCAGACAAAGTAATACACACCTTGAATCCCAGGAAACAGAAGAGATCTGCGTTCAAGGCCAGCCAGGGATACAGCAAGTTCCAAATCCAGACGTGGGCGTACACGCCTATAATCTGGGCCACACCTTCTGCTGGAGTCCTACGTAAGGACTATGGAAGAAGGAAGGCCTTCTTCTCTTCCTCCTCTTCCTCTTCTTTCTCCTCTTCTCTTGCTTTCAATTACTTGCCAGCACATCTGTTAGATAGATACTACTTCAGGATTCCAGCTTATTCAGAAGACCAGCTGAAACACCTACCCTCCTGAAACTGAGCAACTACTGGATTCTTGGACTTCCCCTTCACAGCTGCTCATTGCTGGGTTAGTTGGAGTGCATACTGTAACTGGTTCTAGTAATTTCCTTTAATATGTAGAGATATTCCATAAGTTCTGTGACTCTAGAGAACCCTAATACACATGTAAATAAAAACATACCCTACTGGTGGGTGTACAAGTTGACTATGTTAGCTGGAACGAATAAATATTGAATTTTTTTTTTTTTTTTTTGGTTTTTCGAGACAAGGTTTCTCTGTGTAGCCCTGGCTGTCCGGGAACTCACTCTGTAGACCAGGCTAGCCTCGAACTCAGAAATCCGCCTGCCTCTGCCTCCCAAGTGCTGGGATTAAAGGCGTGCGCCACCACCTCCCGGCTTGAATTTCTATTTAAGGGATGTATATAGGTATATGCAATCCTCATTGGCCCAGTTAAGTCAGCATTTATCTTTTTACAAAGTGAATTGTTGGTGTTAGTTTTAAAATTTCATTTCCTTTATGTGTTGCTGTTCTGGTCTCGTTTTTATTCTCCAGTGTTTCCCATTCATTAAGAATTTCATTCCTGGGGCTGGAGAGATGGCTCAGCAGTTAAGAGCATTGACTGCTCTTCCAGAGGTCCTGAGTTCAATTCCCAGCAACCACATGGTGGCTCACAACCATCTGTAATGGGATCTGATGCCCACTTCTGGTGTCTGAAGACACCTACAATGTATACATAAAATAAACAATTCATTCCTTTTTCTAAAGAGATTTTGTATTTGTATTTGTTTAGAGCAATATCTTCTATAGCTTACCCTTTCCTTCTGCTATATAGTTAAGACTTGTTATGAACATCTTCCTGATCCTGCCTCTCTCTGCTGCCTGGTGCTTGGAAGACTGTTTTGCAACTCCTTTCAGGTTGGACTCTAACTGGTCAGTGAGGAAAAAAAAGAGACCAGTGAATGAGTGTCCAACGTCCCTGGATTGGGGTGAGGGGATTATAAAGAGGGACCTGTGTAAGAATTGAGTTCTCTGACCAACTTTGAAGCTGGTGTAATCACAGCACAGAAAAGGAAGGGAAGAAGGACAGTCAGGGCCTTGCTGCTTTGACAGTAGTTGGTACTAGCAATGAGGAGTCAGGTAATCAGTTTTAGACAACCAGTAAAAATCCAAACTGGCCATCAAGGAGATTCCGAGATCAGGGGTATTAGGAATCTGGATGAGGAACCGAACTTATTTCTAGAAACCAAATTTCTGTATTTAAACTAGTTAAAGCAACACAAGATCTAAATGAAGTGGTGTGGCTGCGCCTAAGAGGAGTATTATTTTTTCTGGCTTAAAAATACACAATATGAGTGAAAAAATATGAGCAGTACTTGATGGGCTCTAGGACATATGTTTAGTCCCAAACAATATTGGACTATAAAGCATTTTTTTCTTTCGGTTTTTTTTTTGTTTCGGTTTTGTTGTTGTTTGTTTTGCTTTTTCATGACAGGGTTTCTCTGTGTAGCTCTGGGTGTCCTGGAACTCACTCTGTAGACCAGGCTGGCCTCGAACTCAGAAATCTGCCTTCCTCTGTCTCCCAAGTTCTGGGATTAAAGGTGTTGGCCACCACTGCCTGGCACATGTTTTTAACTTTTAAAAATAATTTTTGAGAGTATAATTAAATCATTTCATCCTCCTTTCTCCCTACTATTAAGTTTTAAACCCTGGAACAAATGGCTGAAGAGCCTATTTAACAAGTCAAAGCAGACCTGCCTGTTGAGTTCTATCAGCTGACCTCAGTCCCTCCCCGATCCAGGGTATGGTTGGCATGCCTTGTCCTCTAGCCCAGTGTTAGGGCTGCTCTTCTCCCAGTGTCATCCCTCATGTGATCCAGCTGTGTTGGTTACCTGCTCTTTTACATCTACCATTTATTATCCTGATCTCTTAATCTGCCTCTTGCTTCTTCCTTCCTTCCATTCTCTCTCTACATTTGTCCACTCTGGACTCTCCCAGATGTTCCTGGTTCTGGCTATGCTCTCCCTTTTGTGAATAGTAAACTTTGTCCTCCAGGATACCTAGGAGCAGTCATGTTCTTTCTTTTTTTATTTCTTTTCTTCCTTTTTTTTTCATTCACCTCCCATTAACTTCTCCTTACTTTAAAATTCACAACCATGTAAAATTTCTTAAGTTCTGTCGGGTATATCCTAGGTATTCTGTACTTTTTGGCTAATATCCACTTATTAATGAATACATACCATGCATGTCCTTTTGGTTTTGGGTTACCTCACTCAGGGTGATATCTTCTAATTTCAGCCATTTGCCTGCAAAACTCGGGATGTCCTCATTCTTAATAGCT